GTGCCCAAGGGGGTAACACTCAGCATTTTCCTTGTGAGGCAACCATGTGTTTGCATAACTGAAGATGCCTTACTGTTTTGCTTTTTGTATTTTATTCTGTGTAAGTTTATCAAGTTTTAAGTTTTTTTAATAGGACACCATTAAGCAGCACATAAAATAAAATAAATCACACTGAGAAGAAACATTAAATTGTGTGTGCCATGGTGTTTTTAGCAATTTAATTAACCCTGACTTAGGAGGGAAAAACTGGGTGGGTTTGTTTTTTAAAAAAACAGCACACACACAGCTTTTCTGTACTTAATTACAGAGGGACCTGAGATTTCTTTAATGCAGACTTATTGCACTCCCCTCAATGCACACACACCCTTTGATCATAAGCATTAAATGCAGTACATAGTTTAATTTTTAAAACCTCTTTGGTAATGCAGACTGTAGGCCCATTTTTGTGTTTAATTTTTAAACATCACTTTAGCCCTTGACTTTACTGCTTTATTTTACTTTACTGTAGGGCCTTTCAAGAAGGCTCTTACAATTTTAAGTAGGCAGAATATTTCCCGGCATTCTCATCAACTTGCTATGAACAAGATGCCGAAGGGAAATTACTACTCAAGGGAGCGATTCTGCTTGCAACAATAGGATCTGCACGGAGAGCTGTGATGTGGGCGTACACCCGCGTTGCTTTGTTTTCACATAACGGGGGGGGGGGGATCTGCTTGAAGTGGACAGACTGAAAAGATAATATATGCTAGAGAAAAATATAGTGGAGAACTAGTTCCTTGAAAGTAAAGCAAAAAACCACAAACTAACTTGGAAGCTGTGTCAACCCAACATTTATTGCCTGAATGACAAGATGGTTCCCCGCATTTAATGTACAGCCTTGGCTGTCCTGTAACCATTAGGTCTAGCTGGATTACTTAGTCGCTGTACTTTATGCTCTGGTAACCTCCAGAAAGGACACCAGCAATGCACTCTATCTGGGGCTACCTTTGAAGCTGATTTAGAAACTTCAGCCAGTACAAAACATAGCATCTAGGTTGCTGGCTGGGGTTCCATAGCTTGCTGAATCAGGTCACTGACCCATCTAGTAGAGCATCCTGTTTTCACAGTGGTCAACCAGATGCCTGTGGGAAACCTACAAGCACAGGAGCACTCTCCCCTGGTTCCATGGTTTTCAGCAGCTGGTATTCAGAAGAATTTACTCCTTCCAACCATGAACACAGAGCATTGTTATCATGGTTGGTAGTCATTGATAGTCCTTTCCTCCATCAGTGTATCCAATCCTTTTTCAAAGCTGCCCAATCACAAATACATGGAGGATACAGCTGGGGGACACGGGTGGTGCTGTGGTCTAAACCACTGAGCCTAGGGCTTGCTGATCGGAAGGTCGGCGGTTCAGATCCTCGCAACGGGGTGAGCTCCCATTGCTCGGTCCCTGCTCTACTGGAGAGCCAGTGTGGTGTAGTGGTTAAGAGTGGTAGTCTCATAATCTGGGGAACTGGGTTCACGTCTGGGTTCCTCCACATGCAGCTGCTGGGTGACCTTGGGCCAGTCATACTTCTTTGAAGTCTCTCAGCCCCACTCACCTCACAGAGTGTTTGTTGTGGGGGAGGAAGGGAAAGGAGAATGTTAGCCGCTTTGAGACTCCTGAAGGGGAGTGAAAGGCGGAATATCAAATCCAAACTCTTCTTCTTCTTCTTCTCCTGCCCACCTAGCAGTTCGAAAGCATGTCAAAGTGCAAGTAGATAAATAGGTACCGCTCTGGCGGGAAGGTAAACGGCGTTTCCGTGCGCTGCTCTGGTTCACCAGAAGCGGCTTAGTCATGCTGGCCACATGAACCGGAAGCTGTACGCCGGCTCCCTCAGCCAGTAAAGCAAGATGAGCGCCGCAACCCCAGAGTCATCCGCAACTGGACTTAACTATTACCTTTACCTTTTTTTACCTCCACTGTTAGAGGCAGTGTGACTCTGAATGCCAGTTGCTTGGTACTGCAAATGGGGAGAGTGTTGTGATACTCAGGTTCTGCTTGAGGACTTTGCACAGGCATTTGCTTGGCCACTGCAAGACCAGGATGCTGGATGAGATGGTCCTTTGTCCTGATCCAGCAGGACTCATCTTATATTCTTTTGGAGCTGGTCTTAAAGTAGAGCTGATGAAACAGGCCCTGATTCCCATCTGCCCCACTATGACAACCTGCTGGACTTGCAGGGAAGATTGTTACAGGGAAGATGGTAGCAGACTAGTTAGTTGCCTTTCATTCAAGAAACGTTTTCATCAATTTCTAATCTTCAGTTTGTGGAATGTATTGTTAATCTTCTGACACCTCACAGGGTTTCAATGAGAACACTCTTAAGAGTCTACAGAATATGGTTGTCTGGGCCCCTTCCCACCAAACAAAACTTCTGCAGCAGAGAAAGCTCTTTGACCCAGTCTGTCAGATGCACCAAATTATTACTTACCCAGCAACAAGTGCTGTCAGAAGTTCAGAAATCAGAAATTGTCTTGCTTGATAGAATCTGAAGGTTAACCAGGGTAATGTGTGAAAAAGCAGGGATTGGGAACTTTTCCAATTATTGCCCCATCAACTGAGGCCAGAAAGTTCTTCCTGGGCCAAGAAATCATGTTGTATTTTTTTTAAATGTTTTCCTTCATTGTTCCCAAACCAGCATGACTTGAATGAAGGGGCTGGAGAGGAAGTCAAAAGTTCACATCCAGACTTCCTCCGTATGGCACTGACTCACTATGTGAATCTTACTTCTCTGTGTGATGAGAAGGGCTCACTGTCAGGATGAAGCAAGCTGGGGAAGAAGAAGAAGCCTGGGGAAATGGGTTAAGAGCAGCAAAGTACGGATCACAGAACAAGATTGTGCCCTATGCACGCTTCCCTGCTGCCCTACATAGTAAACACAATTCAGGGCTTCAAGAAGACCCAACATTCCCTGCTCACAACTATCATCTTTCCCACAAGCAAATACATTCACTGAAGTGTGCATCTATCTACAGAGCTGCTTTACGCTACATATGTACGATGCCCACTGTGGGATCCATGGAATGAAGAGCACACACCAAATAATGCAGCTGGTGTTAGATGCATGGCTAACATTCCTTCATTTATTTAAAACCTTAATTCCCACTTTTCTGCTGTTAATATCCAGGGAGGTTTACATAACATTCCTATCACAGAAAATATACTAAAACCAGCAATAATTGAAATCCACAGAGACTTGTGTGGGAAGGGAGAAGGGAGGAAGGACTGTTGTTGTTGTTTTACAAAATATTATAAATAACACAGGAAAGTTTGGAGATATTCTTCCTGATTCTGACTGTTGTGCAAGGGAGGCTGGAATAGGAAATAAGCTTTGGCAGGGATAAGGAACCTATTGCAGCCCACGGGCTACATAGCTCAGTTGGCAGAGCATGAGACTCTTAATTTCAGGGTTGTGGGTTCGAACCCCACATTGGGCAAAACATTCTTGCCTGCATCACAAAGGGTTGGACTAGATGACCCTCGTGGTCCCTTCCAACTCTACAGTTCTATGATTCCCACAAGGGTAACCATCCAGAGGCCACATGCCTGCATCAGCACTCTCACAGAGGAACATGATGACTGTTATTCATTCCTCTATATGACAAAGGTAAAACACAGCACATCAGAAGTTGGACGGCCATCTGTCATAGATGTTTAGCTGAGATTCCTGCATTGCAGAGGGTTGGACAAGAAGATCCTTGGGGTCCCTTCCATCTCTACAATTCTACGATTCAAGGACAGTGATGAAGTAGGGGCAACGCTTAGGAACACAGGAAGCTCCCTTACAACAAGCCAGTTTATTGGTCAGCACTGTCGACACTGACTGCCAGAGGTTCTCCAGAGTTTCACACAGCGGACTGTACCTGGAGGTGCTGGGGAATGAACCTAAGTTGTCCTGCATAAAAAGCAGATACTCTACCACTGAGCCACAGCCTTGCCCCAATCTTAACTTGTTTGCTGATCTCAAGACTGACCCATCACATTGCTTCTCTCCTCTGCCCCCAGCCTCAGGTTATCATTTCAGTTGGATAACCCCACGGCTGTGGCACAGTGGGTCAGTGCGTCTGGCTATTAACCAGAAGGTTGGTGGTTCAAGACCACCCAAGGATGGCTGTGGGCAGGATCCCAAGGAGTTGGACTAGATGGCTCCCGGGGTCCCTTCCAGCTCTACAATTCTGTGAAAGGGCTTCAGCTAGTCTTATTTTAAACAAACAAGCAAACAAACAAACCTTCTGATTGTTAGGTATATTTTTTAAAAATTGCTTTGGATGGAGAAATGCAAAATAAATAAAATAAATTTATTCAAGCTCTATGTTAAACAAATACTAGTGGAGCTTATAACAAAATTACAGACAAGCAATTTGAGTTCTCTCAAGGGCCTTCCATACTTCAAGGAAAACATCTTCCAATTATCATAAAAAGCTATCTCCAATTTTCACAGTTCATCTATAATACGCTGATTGAAAATGTAAAACAGAAGACTCAGGTATCCCCATATAATCTACTGTAACCGTATCCTCATGAGTAACAGCAGCCAACTGAAAGAGCCAGACTGATACCTTGCTATTTAAATTCAGATTGCTGGGTGTTTATTTTAGAATCCCCAGTGGAGAAAAGAAACTAAATATTTGAGAGGAACAAGTATTTTCTCCTTTGTATTAATTTTCTCTCATTTGAAAGAAAATGAGAAATAAAAGAGTTGCAACAAATTAAACAGCAAATACAGATGCACAAAAACGCTTTTCAAGGATAATCAACAGCCCATCCATTGCACATTCAGGGAGTGAATATAACATTTTGATTTAGATATGGGGGGGGGGGGAAACCTCCAATACCCGAATCTTACTTCCAACCCTACAGTCACCAAAAAAGCCATGTTTATTTGCTGTGTGTGCATGCAAACACCAGAGATTCAGTCAGCTGCCATGGCGAAGCACACATTTTATGTAGAAGTGTGAAAAAACCTGCTTAAGCATTGGAGGGGATTTTTTCTTGTTTTATGTTTCAAACCAGCTCAGTCATCATTGAAGGACCAGATCCTCAACTCCATAGCAACCCCGTGATTACCATTTCCCAAATGTCTACCGGCAGAAGCCCCCCCTTTTTTTGCTGAATTAAAACTGGAGGTGCATTTCCACTGCTGCACCCCTAAAGGTTTAATTTTATAAAGTGTAGGAGAATGAGTTTCCTTTCCCCATGAGAGTCCACATCAGTGTGATCATGCCACCTGATGAGAAGGAGACCATCATGGCCAAAACCATGATGGGCAACTTCCCCCAAGGGTGGGTAATTCTGTGTGCCTCTGCATCAGTAGTAATGGAATGATCTGATCCTACCTGAGACAGAGATAAGGGCTGAATCATCCAGCCTTAGAAGAGCCTGGTGGGAAGGAAGCATGGCATGTAAAGAGGCACAATGGGTAGCCTTTGTTGAAGGTGAGTAACTCTGAGTTAATGGGAGCCTTTAGCTCACAACTGGGCAACATGTAGCCCTGACCTATTTTTTAGGTGGCCTTCTGAAGCTGCCTTATTCTTTCATCCAATCAAAAGTTTCTTCTTTCCTGTTCAATCCTTCCCTCTTGCCAGATCTTGTTGGCATAGGACACTAAAGCCTGTTGACGTTTTGTGCTCTGCATTCTTACAGGCCCAGGCATTGTGCTCCCCATACCCCAACCCATATAAATAAGAGACCAATAAGACAATTTTGGATCAAAACTGGCCACAACTTTATTGAATACAGATGAAAGAGTTTTAGCTTGGGCATGGGGCAATAAAAAATCATTTTGGCCCACCTGCTGGAAGTGATGCATGCTCAATCCATTTAGGAGGGTTCCTAAGACTTACATCAAATAGGGTGACCCTCGCAGGGACCACTGACTGGGGGGAGTGCCTTAGGCCCTGTCCCCACCTGGGTATGTGGACACGACCACTTCCCCCAGATCCCTTTAACAGGATACCACAGTGTTTAGAGGGGCAGTTGGAGACTACAACCTCCCCTCCATCTAAGACAAAGGATTGCCCCTATGCCCAACCAGTTGTAGCAATTGCAATGAAGTAGGAAAAACCACTAGGTCACTGTCAATTAGCCCAGTGAGCAAATTCCTAACTGGCCCCTTAAAGAATGGTGACCACCGTAGCCACAGCAAAGTCATTGACTATCATCTTAAACCGAGGGTGGATGGGCGGGGAAACCCGACAAAGGAACAAACAGGTGCTGGCTGCTTAAATGGCCAAGAGGCGGAGCCAGTGGAAGCCTTCCTGCTCCATGGCTCCACTCCCTGGCACAGCTTGAGCCCCAGCCTGCATTCCCATTTGCCAAAGCAGTGTGCAGGCTAGGATCCGGCTCCTGATAGGAGGAAGGGCACTGAAGCCATGGCTCCCTCGTTGAGGCCCCAGTGGAGCCACTGCCATCCTGCAATGCCACCACACCAAAAGGGGTGAGCAGACTTATATGGCAGACCCAGACAGTGGGGTTTACAGCTACTCTGATGGGGACTGGGATTTCTAATCTGAGACACATTGCCCCTGAAGGAATGGGGCACTCAACTGAGAAAAGCTGGCCCATCCTTACTTTAGCTAATCACTTGGATGGTGCATGAATGTGTACCTGTTCCCATAAGATGATATGGGAACATAAGAATAGCCCTACCAGATTAGCTCAAAGGCCTATCTAGTCCAGCATCCTTTTCTCATGGTGACCAACCAGATGGGGTACCTGCAAGCAGAACCTGAGAACAACAGCTCTCTCTCCTCTTGTGATTCCCAGCAATGGGTAATGAGAAACATCCTGCCTCCAAGGACATAGCCATCATGGCTAGGAAACTACTGTTTGCCTTACCCTCCACGAAATATCTTTTAAAGCCATCATAGCTGGCAGCCATCACTATATCTTGTGGAAGTGAATTCCAGAGTTTGCACACTAATGAAGTGGTTTTTTTAAAAGCAAAAAATGAAAGGTGGGCATTCATTATTTGCTAGTGGCCTCTGCAGTGCTACATAGCGCTGGCCAGGGCACAAACTGGTATCATGTGAAAAAAATTAAATGGAATCACGTCACTGTAAACTAAATATTGATGCAAAAGAGGCTTTGTGCTTCAGCAGCTTTGACAGATGTTTCTGAGTACACATCTGCCTTTAATATGTAAATCTATCAAAAAGCAAAAACATCCCTCTTGCAAGAAAGGTAAAGGAGGGAAAATATTATTCCACAGAGCAGAGGAATGGTCTCATCGGCATCTTTCCAAAAGAAGCGAGAGTCTTCTGAAACAAGCACCATGAGTGAATGGGGAAAGAGGAGAGATTATTTAAATCAGGGGCAAAGAAGGTGCAACCCTCCAGATGTTGGTGGACTACAACTCCCATCATCCTGACCATCAGCCACGCTAGCTGGGGTTGAGAGTAGTCAAGAGTCTGCTAACATCTGGAGATCACAGGTTCCCCAGCCCTGACTGAAAGTGAGAGTTGTAACCTCAGGAGTTTGAGCCCCTCGTAATGTATTTTTCAGTTTGCGGCACCACATTGACCTCCCACTTACCCACTCCCTAAAACACAGATATACTATACAAGCCCTGCTGGATTAGACAAACAATCCATCAAACCACAAACGCAAGGGTGAATAACCTGCAGCTCTCCAGATGTTCTTGGATTCAATATTTCATCAGCCCCAACCAACAAGGTCCATGGTCAGAAGTGATGGGAGCTTATAGTCCAAAACCATTAGGAGGTCCTTGGGCTTCCCAGCCCTGATCTACTCCATTTAAACATATGCCTCTCAGCTGAAGGCAACATTCCCTCCCAAGTCCACCTGCAGATTGCAGGACTCACTTTCAGGCCCAAGCACTGCAATGACTAGCTGGGACTGAAGGCATCCTTTCTGAAGACAGGGCAATGTAGGAGAGTCAGATGAGCAGTGAACTGCCAATAGATTCTGGATTCAACTAACTAGTCCCACATGCAAGGACTTCCACTAGTGCAACAGGACTTTTCCCACCCTCTCTTTCCCTCCACTACACCCCAAAATTGGCTTATGTGGGTATCAGAAGAATTCCCCAGAACAGCATGCACAGGGAGGAGAGGGCAAATTGTTCCATCAGGCAGGCAGAAACTGGATCTGCTTATCACTATGTTGAATTCCTCCTGTTATATATATGTGCGTGTGCTTGCTTGCATGCATGCATGCAGTGGAGGCAAAGAGAAAAAGACAATATCATGAATCAGTCTGGGAATTGTAGCTGAGAATTCAGTATAGAAATGGTATAGAAACTATGGAGCAGGAAAGAAAAGCAGAGCTGGGCTCAGCCTCTGCTAAACAATTAGCAGGAACTAAGAACATGAAATCTGGGAATCAATATTAATCTAAGGCCCTCTAGTTAGTTTCAATTCTTGGAGACCTAACAGAAGTGCCAATGGTACAACTCCGGTTACCAATTATACCCCCATCCTAAGAGGGCTCTTAAGATGTCTCAAGTGACTTAGGAATGACTTCATCCCTGCAGAACAAGAAAGGGACAGGCTTCATTTCTCTGATGCACAAAGTTGTTTTATTAAAGCAACAACAACTGGGCTTGAAAAACTTCATCGGAAGGCTCATCTCCACTTCATAGAGTAAGTGTGAGTTCTGAACCAGAGGTGTTGATTCCTACTGAGTAATGAGGATATTCGCTGATAGCATCATCTTTTGCAAAAGTGAAAACATCAGTTAACTCTGCTCCAACGGTGTCACCAGCATCAACCCTTAAGAACATTAGAGCCCTCTTAGATCATGCAAATGTTTCATCTAGTCAGCATCCTCTTCTCGCAGTGCCCAAACAGATGCCCATGGGAAGCTCCAAAGCAGGACCTGAGCACAACAGGACCCCAAAGTCCTTAAATCTGACAGATGTTTGATTGTACAACTGGCCGTTCTCATCAGCATCTAATGTACCCCTCTGTACCTCCTGGATCCCACATCCTGCATGAAGAACAGGTGTTACTAGTCATTAAAACTGCCTAAAACAATAATAATACCTCTCAGCAGCAAAAGAATCCACATTTCAGCACAAGTGGAGATAGTAATATTTGAAAGAGAAGACCTTATAATCTCGATTTTAGCTGTAAAATTATTTGATGGTTTTTTGG